GTAGTTGGAGAGCTATCAGAAGCAAGCTTGTTTAAAATTAGTTTGGATATCTGAGCATTACAAAGCAGTCATTTATGTAGCTGCAGTGTAGACATGCCTTTGGGTTTATGAATGCTTTGTGAGGGTGGAGCAGAGCAGAAGCTAGAGTCTCTGGCCAACTACGAGCCTGCTTTGTCATATATCTCGTTGTTATTGCTTAGTTTATATGTTTTTGAAACAGGGTCTGGGCTTTGTTCTTGTCTGTCGTTACACTTCGTGGCTTGATTCTGAAATGTCCAGCAGCTAAAATTCCAGGTCTAGCCTTAATTTCCACTGTAACATTTAATCATTTGAGCAGACAGCAGGGATTGGGAGATTTTTTTCAGGATTTGGAAACCTTTCATGTCAGGACTATCACCTAATTGATATGAGAGAGGATATGAATTTTTTGAAGAATGTGAGACCATAAAAAAACCTTAAACAAAATAAAAAGGTATTATTATTTGTATTTAGAAAGGTGTAATACACAGTAGCTGTAGGGAAAAAAGGAAAACCAATGTTTTGTGAATCTGACTGACAGCCTTCATTAGAGCACAGAGAATGTCTTCTCTGGTTTAAAATAAAAAATCGTGTCATATCTATAGAGAATGGAGCTGTTTGGGACAGTGTTTAGCTACTTGTAGGTAAAAGACCCTTAGCAGTTCAACTGTAGCATTACTACCTCAGTACTGAGGCCAACCAAAATTGGGGTCCAATCCCTCAGCTTTGCGGACATTTTGATAAATGATCCCATTCTTTTTCTGTCTTGAGTTCAAAATGAGATAGAATTTATTTTAGTTTTGGAAAATACAAATCAAGATTTGTTAAATTCTCAAACTTGAGTTGGTGGTAGGACTTCAGATAATTAGGGCCTTTTTCAACTGTTTCTCATACCCATTAGGTATTTTTTCCACCTTTAGGTATTGCTGTGTTCAGATAATCTGTCAATTTAACCAAAGCAACAATTTCACAATGTAGTTTTCTTTCTGATTGTGTGCTGTGTAATCAATATACTGATATAATGTGAGTGTAATTTCCTCTCTTATTTTATCTCCACTGCACAGTATTATAAATAAACAGCTAAAAAAGAAAAAAGAAAGAAAAGCACCAAACAAATCTGTTGCATCTTCTTTTAAGATTGTACCACTGTAGACACTTGTTCTAGTAAAGTAGAATTGGACCCACTTGATTGCATTTAAATTTTTCATGCTTCAGCAGTTTGTCTGGGAGCACAGTAAAGAAAACCCCCCGAGCGAGGATAGTTTAGAATAATAGAACTTGATTTTGTGTATTATAGCGGCACCATTTGCGCTGCTGTAGTTAGGGTTGTGTCAGCACTTCCATTATAAACCCCTGTTTGCAGGGGTTATAACTAGGGAGATATTTTTTATCAGAAACTTTTTTTTTAAATCATGCAAGTGAGTTTAATTGATAATAGGAGAAATAAAATAAAATAAATTATAATGGAAATTAGTAGGTTTCTGATACCTTTTACAAACCTTATTTATTATGAATATTGATTTTTTTTTTCCCTCTCAGCAGGGATTTTTAACAAGTGCGTTTTGAATGTTTTAAACATAAAATTGGGAAGTTGTTATGGCTTAAAATTTGACTGCTATTCATGCTCATATTTTAACATTAAAATATTTTAACACAACACGCTGTTCTATGGTTTAATTTTATCATAAACATAAACTACTCAAATGAGCCAGATTCTTCTCCCTTTGAATTGGATGAGACCTTGGAGTTATTGTCTAGACTCTGCCTTTTGACCTGATGGAGTTATGTGTACAGAATTCTCCCATTTAGGTAAAAATACACAGGGAATGAGTAAAACCTACATGAAGGAGTTGACTGGATAACATCCAGCTGCAAGAGTTTAAATTTACTCTGCTTTACTGATTGCTAACCTAAGCATAATCAATGTTTGGTGCATAACCAGGCACCCTCAGAAGGCACGTAAGAATGAGGTATATTCACTCAGTTAATGATTGTGCTGGGAAGGAAAGTGGAGGGCTTAATCTAGCAGGGCCCTACACCTCTGTCCCTTTTAACCCAATGTTTTAAATTTAGCAACCAAAAAACTGAAACCATTAAACCTAGTTGTTTTAACAAAGCTGTAGGAGAAAATAGGAGGGAAACACACCCCTAAAAATTATGTCATGAGGAGAGTGAGTGCCTAGGAGGCCTGCCTGAGCCTGTCTTCCTTTTCAGGCTCCAGCACTATAGGTAACTGAGTGAAGTACAGCATGAAACGTGTCTGACCATAATGCAGCAGTGGGGAGAAAGTGTAGGTGGAGCTAGGAAGCATTTGAACCCCACCCTTGGTCTGTTTTACTCTAGTACAGAAAAATATTGCTGGGCATGGCTTGAGATTATTAGTGAATGGGAGTTTGTTGATATAATTTTATTTTTAACATTAACAAAGTCCCTTTTCTGTATGTAATCAGAACTTGAATAGAGATTTTTATTGAATTGTGTTTAAAACATCTTAGATAAAAGCAAAGTATATTAGTGTACATTGCAAAGAAAAAATGCTTCCCCTACAGTGCATTACCAGTAGATAGCTTTACTGAATGGTCACTTGAGGAAACACCAAAAGCCTGTTTATGAAATAGAGGTGAAGCCTTTCTAGACTAATTATATTCAGCATGTAATTTCTAAACTTCAGTCTGAATTTTGATTTTCAATTAACATTCCCAATTTGAAGATAATTTTCTATTTAATGTAATTGCAGGAAATAATTTATTGGCTGATTAAGACTGAGGGCCCAGCCTTCCTTAAGAAAACAGTCCCTAACAAACCAGCCTTTAAAGCCAACTCGTAGCTTTGGACAGATTCAGCCTATTTTTGCAGCTGCAGAGTTGTGTTTAATTAGGATTGTGCACTATTATTCATTGGTGCAGTTTGTAGTTGAAATTATTCTTAAGAGACATTTTCATTTCTAGTTTTCTGTCATGATTAATTTATGGCGAAGAAACAGCCATAGCTATTGCTTTATACAGAAGCTTGTTCAGTATGAAACAGGAATAAGATCTGTTGAGAAGGTGAAAGAAAGGAAAATCCTTTATTGTGACTTTCAGTTTTCATGTCGGGTTTTCAAATTACATAAAGCATGATGTATATTTTCATGTGAGTGATTACATTAACATGGCTATTTTAATGAAAAAAGGGAAAGCAAACCTTTTATTTTATCTTAGATCATAGCAATTATGAAGCAGAACCTTTTGAAGTACATACAGTAATGCTGGTTGCTGAACTCCTGGCATGTTCTCTGTAGCATCAACACAAATTCTTTAGCGTAGTAAGAATGTAATACGCGGTTTGAATTCCTCAGTTCTGCTTATTGGCAACATTAATATTAGACTCCCACTTACACTTAGGCTTCCCTACAGAAAACACAAACCTTTTTTTCCCCACCAGTGTCGAGTTTAAGAGGCAGGATTATCTCTATTTGTGGAATAGTTATTCTAAATAGGTATCAGTGTTTTAATATGTTTCAAAGCACTTCAAAGCTTGTAATACTTTCATATTGAACTGTACATAATTAGATTAGTTGATCCTATATTAATTTTTTTTTCACTGTAGGATACTAAATCTGAACTCCCTCATTAATTGTGAGAAATTTAGCATTAGCTGTTAAATCCTATGTGAAACACAGGCTGCTACATAAAAACTACTGTTTAAATTGGAATTAACTTAATTATTTTTCTTTGCACTTGATATTTCCTTCACTGTAATATTCATGAAAGCATGTGACAGATTTGTAAATTTAACTGTTAGTCTCAGATTTCCAGACCCTTTAATCAGTATTTATTTGTCTGTAGAAACAGTACTAGCAAGTTAATGATTTGCTAATTTGAAAAATGCTCATGTGGTTTCCTATGTTAACTGATTTGTGCATTTTTAAAGAAATGGTATGAAATCAATTATTGTTAAAAAGCAATTAAGATGAAGATCTTATTCCTCAGTTTCTCAGCAATTTCAGTGTCAAGGATATTCTAAAGTTACTAAACCCTGGGAAAATAGCTAATATATTTTGGCTCTCTTCTTTCAGGTTTATTAATGATTGTTTTAACAGTTGCAGTTGATCGTACCAGAAATTTTGAATACAGTGTTTTCAGATTTTGAGTTGAAGTCAGTAATATTTTCATCTAAGTGCAGAAACTGTGGCAAAAGCTGTGCTTGCATGTGAGATGGTAGTAAGAGGCCATTATTTGGAAAAGACATTTAACATAAATCTATGCATTTATTCATTACACTTTTAAGTAATTTGAGGTATTTTGTTGAGCTATATCCTGTACTCAATGCCTAATATGAAGCGAAACCTAATTATTTTAGGTTTTTAGTCTGAATTGTAAAAGATTATTCAGATATTATCCATCCATCCATCCAACAAAGTTTAGAACACTTTTTACGTGAGTTCCTGAAAACATTTTCTGAAATGTAAAACCAGGTAAAACTGAAACAGTTTAAAAGCAGTACAGCTTTAAATGAACAGCAAAAGGACTTATTTAGCAGAATTTGAAATGGATTTAAAAATTCTTATCTGTGTAGAAAACATCTTCTTGCAAGGGATGAGATTGGGTAAACATGATGGGCTCTCTCTTTTAAACATTTGCTTATAACCTTCAGATTGCTCATGGGAGTAAGAGTTTAAATAATTGAACTCTTATGCAAAATCAACATGAAAATAGCAATAAAATCACTATTTTCTTATGGCTGGAGAAAATGATATTGTTTGACAAGCCTAAACGAATAGAATGATGTCATACAACTTAACCCTGACCTTGTCTTGCCATCAATTAATACTTTTTCTCAGTGTTTTGGATCCAGGTCCCCCAAACCTGTACTTTTTAGAGTATTTCTGTTACCTGCATGTGACTAATTTTTGACTTTTGTAGGCAGATGTGATGTGTTTAGAGGATTTTTTTCACTTAGCACCAATTTTTTTGTTTTTGTCTGCTCTTCTTGTCTCGTAGAAGAATGTCTTCCAAGCAGGCCACCTCTCCATTTGCATGTGCAGCTGATGGAGAGGAAACAATGACCCAGGATTTAGCATCACGAGACAAGGAAGAGGGCAACAGTGATCAGCATGCGGCCTCTCATCTGCCTCTACACAATGTAATGCACAACAAACCTCACTCTGAGGAGCTACCAACTCTGGTCACGACCATCCAACAAGATCCTGAGTGGGATGGAGTAATCTCAGCCCAACACAGAATGGTGAGTTTCACACTTCTCGCCGTGGCTCTCCAAATTAGTATCGTAAAAGACTGTTTGCTCCCATTTTAAAAGACATGTTCACGGGTAAAGCTTTTTAAATGTTATAGTGTCAGTAGTAGATCAACATCATATGGTGTAATTGTAAATTACAGTTGTATAATCTACTTAAGTATACACGTCTTTATGAATGAGGTCATTTGATGAGTTCACCTTCTGAAAGGAAATGCATCTATTTATCATGTTTTCATTCATACCTTGATTTATGTCATAACCTTTCTAGCTCATATATTCAAGCATTAATTTCTGACAGCAGGACGTAGCTCACAACTGTTTGTCATCTGCAAAGTGTTGTGCTGAAGGAAGAAACTTTAATGTATTTTTTTACTTGTCTCTCAGAAATAGAACCCACAAAATCTAGAATATTCTAACTTTACACCACAACAAAGCATGGCATTTTAGGTGTCAGAAACGTCTTGCTGTATTTATAGGAAATTGCAAATTTTCGTGGAGGGGAAAGGTGTTTATGAGCAATTCTGTCGTGCTCTTCTGCTCTAGATCACCAGTTTGTATACAGGTGACATTAGGAATGATCAGAATTGTTAAATGTATTCTCTTCAGTAGCCTAGATAAAATTGTTTTTTGGTTGTAACTTGTCTCTGCATCCCCAAAACTCTGCAATAAATGGGCAGGCTGAATGAAGGCTGAAAGGGCATAGCATCTCAGCCAATTTATTTTCCTTGCATGTGTTCCTCAGAAACAGAATTAAGGTACGTGGAGCAGCCAGGTGTTCTGTAAATTTAGAACATCGTAATTCCAGACTCTCCCTAAAGTGACTTTCACAGACTTTAAATTCAAATAGTTAGCTTAAAAAAATAATCTGCCTTTTCATAAAATTTCTTCTGTATTTTTATAAAATATCTACGAGCAGATTCTATTCAGCAAACATTTTTTCCCTTTTTTTTTAGTACAAATCAACATCTTTCAATAAGGTTAAATATAATTGTAGATTTTTTTTAACAACATTAACAATAATCAACTTATTTCAAATTTGACTAGATTTAATAATTCTAATGCATTAATCAGTATAGATACCATAGATCTTTGTGCATATTATGATGCCCGGAGTTAGTTAAATAATATCACTACAATAAGATCTATTTTGTTAATATAGTGTTGAAATTTTTTTTCCTAAAATTGGATTGATTCAAAAGATCAAACCAAAGCAGAAAATTGCTACCTAATCCATACTATATAATTTAATGCAGTGCAGAATTTTCTGTCTGGCCTAAAATATTCCTGAGTATTTGGATGATTGTCACAAAGAAGGCAAAATTTCAACTGCAGAAATAGCTTTAAAGAAAAATGATGATAGGTTAGTAATTTGGCAAGGTAGGTTGTAAGTTGTATATATGTCTTCTATTCAGAATTCTGAGATTTAACCTCATTTTGGACAGAGTCACTCTTTTTCCCAAGTTATACAATAAGCATATTAGAATAATTTTAACATTTGTGTTATCAGGAGAGCAAGCTGGATGAAGAAAGGATGGGTCCAGTTTGTTTATAGAAAAAGTAAATCTGTGAATTCATCGGCTACTTCTCTATTCATTCAGAGAGTCAGGTGCACTCTTAGAATTTTAGTATTAGGATACCAACAGCATTGACAAAATTACTCTGTGTCCTGGAGAGAGAAACTCCTGGCCTCCAGGAGACACTCAATGCATTTTTTTTTGGTTCAGTCTGCTCCTTGGACCCGGAGTAAGCCAAAATGGTAGACTCTTTTGTAGAGTGATCAGTTGTACTTGTGTGTATTGCTCTGAAGGGGGTTTGCACTCACAGTGACAGAGTGCAGTCTCTGTTTTCTTTCCTAATGCTGAACTATCATGTCAACACTCGCTGTTCCTCTGGCCAGGCACGAATCAGTACTCAGCTTATCGTGTTTCAGAACAGGTGCATAAACTTTGCTTGAGGGACTTAGCACTCTGGTTTTCCTTTCTCCTTTTTCCAGTAAATATTCCATCATATATGTAGATGAATGTCCCGAAAATCATTAGGAGTTTCCAGAAGTCCCTTGGCTTAAATCTGGTGGTGGATATATGTCAACCTTATTTAGGTAACTTTCAACTAAACCAAATAGATTCTTTCTTTTGCCCAGCTCAAAGCTGGATATAATTTGCAAGGCTTGGCTACCAGTGCAGACTGAAGTTCTAGGGCATGTTGTTTCATTGCACTTAAAAGAGATCTAAAATGTACAGAGCAAGGCCCCAGTGTATTTACAGCTAGGTGAGTTAGGTGACTACTTAGATCACCACAGTGAAGTGGTGAAAAAGTGTTTTTGTCCTTAAGGTACTATCATTTAGGGTACCCTGTTTGATATTTTTTTGGGGGGGATGAATGATTTTTTTTTCTCCCTTAAATATATCCTTCATGAGCCAACCTTTAAGCCTCAATCAATTGCAAAAAGCTCTTCTGAAGTATGTCAGTCTCCAAGCAGGCATGATATTGCTAAGAAAGAATTCAGAGGTGCCTGCAATTATCCTGATGAAAACAGTTTTATACTCCTTAAAGGGAGGAAAGAAGTTTCTTTCCAGAAAGACAAATTCCAGAAGGTGGATTGGGTAATTCTGAGATTAGGGGCCTTGGTAGTGAAAACTTTTCTACTTAATAAAACGAAATTCCCAGAAGGTAAGCACTTTCCCAGACGGATCCTTTAAAAGCAGGTTTGAAGAAGCACCTGTTAGTACCATTTACACTGAAAGTAAAGACAGTAGTGCTTTCATTAAAATGCATCAATAATGTGTGTTGTCTGGTTAAAAGATAGTAAATTCAAAGAATGCTGTGTTGACATATGGGGAGGAAAAAATTTCTCTTTTATCTGGTATCTAATTAAGGGCAAAATCCTGCGTTGTTGTGCCCCTAAAGCTACTAAGGAGTTCAGTGGAATTTGAGAGAGCACACAGTATGCATCATAACTTGTTATGAGGGCCATACAGATCTTAAGTTGAAAAAAGATGCAGTAGAAGGGCAACTTGACTGGAAAAAAATTACAATTTTGCCCAACATTTATGGCATGCAACACTTCAAGTAATGTAAGATACCTTTAAACTACATCGTGCATTATCATAAAAAAAACACACTGGCTAGAAATGTTTTCAAACTTTCACTCCCTTTTGATAGCAGGCATTGCTTTCCACTGAGTCCTTTGTGTATTCTGAATGTCTGGAAGCCAAAATATTTTGTTTTAACTCCCACTCTATAGTATTTCCCAGCTGTGTACTTATATGGTGTAATAAAAGGATTTAACAAATGGGAAATAGCAGCTGCATTTGGAAATTCCCTTTGTGCTCCCTCTTCATTTGACAGATTCAGCAATGTGTAACAACTGTAACGTCAGACCTGTAATGACTTATACTGCAAGTATCATATCACCAGCCAATTTGATGTTCCAGTGGGGAGAAGATAAAACAACCCAAAGATTTCTGTAAATTCATATTGCTGAGCTGAAAAGATTATACGTGTGTTTCTGACTGTAACTTAATATAAAAATATCTGGATGTATGGGGTATTTTTGCTGATTGTAGCCCTACTAGAAAATAAAATCTCTTTTAGGCTAAAACCATATCTATTTGCTGCAGTAAGCTGTAGGGAAGAGGTCAAAGTTGTACTATGATAACAGTGAAAGTGTCATGCTTTCACCCATGGATAGTGAGTATCAGGCAAGAGATACAGTCAAATTTTTAGATTGCATCCAAAACTTGTCTCTCTTAGGGCAAAAGACTGAGAGAGAATGAGTGGGGAAACCCCAAAATACTTAATTTTGCTAGATTTAATAGTAACTGAATTGTTGTATCCCAATAATATGTTAGTTAGACAGTGTGTACATACACTGAATGAGGGCATCCACATCTTTTTGCTCTACCGTTTTTTAGAAGTGAGAGACTGTTACAGGGAACAACTGCAGCAATTCAAGTCTAAAGGATGGGTGTTATTTCCCTGTGACTGATGGAAACCCGGCACATATACATATACAAATACAATTAACTACCTCCAAACCTGTGCTATATTTCCCTATATGTTTTGTAACATCATTCAGAGACCCCTTGGATTTAGAAATTAATTGTATCTCATTGGATTTTATCTCAAATGGCAGCATCAAAATATATTTCATAATTATGTCAAGTCTCTGTCTTATGTTGACTTCTAGCCAAAAGAGCAAAAGACTTGCCACCACTGTGGCTGCATGTACGTCTCAGCAGTACTGTGAGCAGATTTATAGATGCAGCAGAAAAATTGAAGATCTCTTAATACCACATGTATTTGTTCCTTTCAAAATTTAAATAATTTTAAATCACCAAGTATCAACTTCAACTTCATATAGCTTTAGCAAAGTTCCTGGCATCAGAAACACAGAAATAGGTGGTATCCTGAAGGTCTCAATGTTTCAGTGCTTGCTGTCTCTACCTAAAGCAGGCACAATCCTGTTGCTCCCCCCTGCCCCTTGTTATTAACTTTTCACGTTGAAGAGTCTTCCCTTTAAGGAAAATAAACTCAGGTGTTTAGGGAAGATCATTGGAAAATGTTTACACATGCTAAACACTGTGAATTTGTTGTTATATAAATTCATGGCTTCAAATTCTCAAAAGTTATAGATACAATTACATGCTTTGAAATTTTATTTTTACTTCCTTTACAGGCTGAATATGAACATATAAAATGCATCAAATATAAATGCCCTAAACTCTGGCAATTTTGTATCTGCTAAATTGCTCATGCAGCTGTTATTTACATGTACAAATCTGAGTTTTGTGATCATCGAAAGCAATTCTACTGTGCTTGTGATATTATTTCTGCATGCCAGGTAGTGCATCAGAATTTTTTATCTAACTAAAGAGATAAATACCTTCATATATAATTGCATAGATATAAAGTTTTGACTGAAATTAAAGAGTGTGAAAAAGCAGATGGTATGATATTTTTCCATAAAATAAACTTTAGTGAGAAAT